TAAGTAAATTTTAATTTAATATATTCAAACAAGTTAGATTTTGTTTTTTACGTACACAAACATAAATAAATTCACAAACATTAATATTAATTATGTTACAAAATTTCGAAAAATTTCATTGTTTTTTTTATTATATGTAAAATTGATTCCGAGAACAACAAACATTCAAAAGTAAACATTAATATAATCTATTACTTTACACAACAAATCATTGAAAAGAAATCCATTCCTTTTTTAAAACTTTATACATTAATTGTTTATAATTATTAATAATTTATAATTGTGTACCAATAAACTAATCAAAATCTAATCATAAAATAAATTGAATTCTTCTTCTCATTTACTATTTTAATATATAAATGCATATATAAATAATAATAATATTATTTAAAAGGGTTGATTTATCAAATAGTTTTTTTTTAAAAAAAATAAAGATATTAGTCAGTCAGACATGTCAGTGTTACTTGCACACATTTAGCATTGAGACTCCAAATAAATGTACCCACTCCTCTTCCATAAATATTTTGACAATAAAAAATCATTTAACAAGAATGTAAATCATAATAAACGAGATTAATTTTAACGAATTATTTTATTGACTGTGTCATTGGCAACATCACATTTGTTTGTACTTATTAAATGAAATATAATTTTCGACTTCTTTACAAACTTTAATCAAATCTCTTTCAATGGCATATTTTTCTATTGGATAAACAAAGAACTGTCATAAAAAAATTTTTTAATTAATGTAGTTTGTCCTATTTGGGAAAACAGACTTGGGAAAATTTACGATTATCTTGAAAAGTCCTATGTAAATTATAATAGAAGATAGTATTTCTTTGAGCATTTATCTTATAACAATTATGGTGCGCGCCACCTATACTAGGGATGCAGGGCTTACGTAACAAACCTTAAATAAATTATCCAAATTATCATTATTACTTACTATATGTTTTTATAATCAACAATATTTGTTATTTGTTGTAGAAATTATCTGCGGGTGATAAATTTGCAGCGAAATCCATTATTATTATCCAATCAAATTTTGAATTTCTAGAGATAGTTTCTAAATTTATACTAGTTACACGACACAATTATGCACTAAAAATCAAATGCATAAATGTAGATCATTCCGAAATTTCAATGATTATTTATTTTTATTGGTTCAAATAATTGGTAATATAGAAGAACTAAATGATATGTATAGAATAATAAAAACAAATCATTTAAATTCCTATCTAATATTTCATTCTTTTTTTCTTTATCTTTTTCCATATTATTTACATCACCCTAACCATTTTTATTAACATTCGTTTCGCTGTAAAAATTAAGATTTTGATCATTTTAATATCCTCTTCCATATCATCTATCTACATCAACCCGACTTGGCTTTAACTCAATTCTCAAAATCTCAATTTTTAATTGCACATGACTAATTATTTATATATTTTTCATATGACTCGATTAATTGCGTCAGAAAGTTGCCTGATTGAGTCAAGTGATCAACTAGGGTCAAAATCTTTTAATTCACCATTATTTCATAATTACCATGTCCTCTGAAGGGCAATCTATCATCTATGAGAGATTTATCATAACTGTCTTCTGTAATGTTTATTATTATTACACGTATCCAATTGTCAATAGAGAATAAACTATACGATTATCTTTCATATGCCAAAAAGGGAAACAAAACTTTACACAATACTTAAAACAAATATTTTTGTTCAAGATAAAAACTTACAAGAACCACCCACCTCTATTCTATATGTAACATAAACCAAAAATCAATACCTAGGAAAAAACGCAATCAAGTAAATCAAAAACACAGAAATTTAAAAGTTGCGATAAAAAGACCAAAATTTTCTCATTTGGTGATGTGGAAATCGGAATCTGCGAACTATGTGTGTGAAGAAGGAAAGAGAATTTCTGCCTTCGTCGCAAAATTTTCTACCAACAAAAAATGATTCCTAGAAGGAAAACAACGGTAGCATTCCAAACCGAGTACGTTTATGATTATTCGGATATCAATTTATTTATGAATATTTAAATTCATTTCGTAATTATTTCGAGTATTCATAATTATAATAACAGTAATTATTATGCAATAGTAATAGCAATCTTCGTAAATATTTAAATTTATTGTCGATAACAAGTATTAAAATAATTACGAGTGCCCATATGATCAAGAGTATCGGAATAGGGGTAGGAGTTATGGTAATATAAAATATGG